TTCAGTTACGTTCGAAATAATTTCACTAGAATATGTAGAATAATCAACTAATAAGTGATACTAAGAAAAAAGACTTAAAATTAACTTACTCTAACACATATTCCGTATGTTTCTTAAGAATATGTTCTACTACAGTAAACCAATCTTTCCAGCATTGTATATTTTTACACCCAGCAATAGGACAGATTCGTTTTGGAAACGAGTCTGCGTGCTGGGATATGACATGATTATGTAAGTTAAGCATACCTCCATATCTTTCGTTTGAATCGAAGCATTCTTTAGTGAAGGGACATCGAAGCGGAATCGAATGTCTTTGTACTTGATGTTGCTGTAGACTCTGAAGTGTCGGATACGATTGTCTACAATTATTGACATCACATGCCATTCTTCGTTTTTTGTTGACCCACTTTGGGATAGTTGTCATAGATGTTGCTGTAGTCGGTGCTATTTCTTCGTTTAGGACTGACTGAGTATTTGAATGTTTACTTAATTTATGATCTTTCAATCCATTTACACCCCTACATACTTTCTTGCAACCGTCAACATCACATTGTATTTGTTTCTTTGCTTTCTTTTTTTTCTTTTTAGACTTCGTTTTTGTCGTGATTGATTCACTCAACATTGGCTGAGTACTTAACTCTTTGATTCGATCTTCAATTAAATTCTTTATCTTATAACTGAAATATAAATAGCTGCAACTTCATAGTTACACAGACAAGGCAAACAACTTACTCAAGTAAATATTCAATTCGATTTGAACCACATTTCAAGTTTTCTAGCCAACAGTAGCTAAAAATATTTGCTTTTGAATAATGAGTATATTTTAATTGTTCAATCAGTTTGTCGTAATGATTTTCGATTCCATATATGATCCAAATATAATCGTATTCATGTTCAGATTTGACTGTTATGAATTTCTCGGTACTATTTTCGTTGTTATCCTTATCTGCTACTGTTTTTATCGATGAACGTAACCATACACTTTGAGGGTACATTAATTTCAATGCTTTATAGTATTCGTCAACTTCCACAGAAGATGAATTATACCAGATATGATAGTGAATATTTGATGCATCATTCATTAGTTTCATAGCTTCTTCAGTACTCTTTTTAAATGTAGACGCATCGTTTAATTTATCGATTCGATTTAATGTGTAAGGATGAATATTACTGAATAGTTCATGTCGTCCGAAATCACCATCAATTAATACACAATGTCGTGTATTTTGTGGATAATCATCACTGTTATGGCTGTTCGAAGCCATATCTTGCTCGTCTTTCTGCGTTAAATGATACTTCTATATGACAAACATTTTCTATTAACGTATATAGGCTTCTGTCATTCGAAATTCAAGCTGATTTTTTTTCGCCTTTTTCAAATAGGATTTGATAGAATGTGAGCTCCTGATCATGGAAAACTAGCTTTCAACGTTTATTGTCACTCTTTTCAGGTCGAAGAATCCCAAAACCAATCTTTTCAAATTACCCATTTTTTTTCCTTTGCTCTACTTGACAGCTTCTAACAATATTTTTTACTCATTCAACATAAAAACTGAGTAAAAAATGACATTAAATCAATTCTAGTCAAAAAAGTATATTAATGATGGGCACATTCTTTTCCTATCCTGTATCGCTGATAAACCAATTTTGTGCACCTGTCTAGTTTTTTAAGTTAGGCGATGAAGTCAAATATTTAATGTTGTTCCTTTCATCATACCACCAAGCATATAGGTGCTTGTCGCGTTTTTTTTCTTCTTTTCTTTTATTTGTCGAGAAAAAATTCTCTTTATTGTTACCGTTCAGACATTAAGAGAATGATTTTCCAATAATCATCAACATCTTTCCAATTGATTTTGAAATTGCGCAATAACAAATAGAGTAATGCACTCCAATATTTCCTATTAAATTGAGGCTTTCGTATTTATGCAATGTCGCGAGTATCAATTTATAGAAATCCTTCATTAAAGTCTAATTTTGAATCACTAGTATTGTTCAACGATCATTATTCGATGAGTCACTTGCACGGTAAACCTTTTCATTCGCCCCGCACTTAGACGACGATCTTCGAGATTGGTTTTTTCGACTACTTATGTTAGATATAACAAGGCAACTGAAGATGGGTGTACTAGTGTCACTCAAAAAGAACACTACACTCACCTACATTCGACACATTGGTTTTTCTCAAACAAGGCTTCCAGAAATCATTCACATACCCTTCCAAATATCACTTTTCGACCCGTCAAAATATTTTACCTATTTGGGTGGGTTTTGACTTGATTTCAACAAAAAATAGACATTTTATTTAAAAATCATTTTCTTAATGTCTCTACGGTAACAAAAAAGAGAATTTTTCTCGACAAAGAAAAGAAAGAAAAAAGACGCGATAAGCACTTATATGACTGGTGGCACGATGAAGCGAAAGACATTAAATATTTGGCTTCATCGTCTAACTCAAGAAACTAGACAGGTGCACAAAAATAGTTTATCCGCAATGCAGAACAGAAGGAGAATGTGCCCATCACTAATATACTTTTTTTTTTGACTAGAATTGATTAAATGTCGTTTTTTATTCAGTTTTTATGTTGAACCAGAAAAAAATATTGTTAGAAGATGTCAAATAGAATAAAGGAAAAATTTAAGTAATTCGAAAAGATTTGTTTTTGAATAAAAACGATACTCACTTAGGCTTTTGAATTGTTCGATCTGAAAAGTGTGACAATAAACGCTAAAAATTAGTGCTCCATGACCAGCAGCTCTTGTTGTGTCAAAACATGCATGAAAAAGGTGAAAAAGAAAATCAACTTGAATTGCCAATAATGGGCACCTTTTATACAGAACATGCGCCGCATACAACGATAATGACAGAAAAGGAAAATATTACAATAAGCACATACTTTCTACCATTAAACATAAGAGAGTATCAGATGGCGTGACAAGATGAGAGAATAATTATGCAATGCTTTTATTTATTCTTTGGCGTTTCATTAAATAAAATCAATCAGAAAAAGATCTATTAACTTCTAAATGACTTGATAGATTAAAATTACTTCTTTGCTCATACAAGTATATCTCAAGATGGTAACACATATGAATGTTTTTTTGACCTCTTCTGAGTGAAACGAATGTACATGCAGTATTGAGGATACTATTGTCTTTAGTCAACCTTCAGATTTTATTGATAGAACATCAGGTTCATCATACAACAAACATGATCATAGCTGATACTAGACGCTACTAAATGATATCATGATAAGTACCGTTAGTGTTGTTGTTGAACTTGTAGAATTAATTGACTGATACATGATGAAACTTTTTTCTCAGTCAAAACTAAAATTATATCAAATTTTAGATTTGATCTTCTACTGATCACAATCACTCGATAATCATGAAGACATATGAAGCAGTTGATATGAGAATGTAGTTGAGTTTGAAATGCATAAATAAAAGAGAATTAAATATCATATTGATAGTATGAGTCATTCAATAATTAACATTCATTTATTTGTGTACTCATGTTTTGTAATTATAGATGTTTTTAAATGTTAGCTAGTTTCATGGAACTTATTTTATATTATTTTAAAATATCTATATATTTAAGTTTCTTTAATTTGTAGCAATTAATTACTAAATATTGGAATTATAGGATTTTTATTTACCTGTTTACAGTAATCCATCGATGTTTGAAATACTAAACGATGAAACACATTTTATGCCAGTCTTTTTCAGTTGTAAAATTGATTTTCTTTGTATGAAATTTCTTTGGAATAATAAAGTGGACATTTTCAATTCTAAGTTGCAATCTTATTCTGATAAGTTTGCTGAAAATTATCGTTCCAATTACACAATCGATAATAAAATGTATTTAGATATTTTGAATGTTTTGTAAATACAAAATGCAAATATGTCACCAAAACTTAAGTTCTCATTGCAAGAAATATTTTCTCCTATTGAAAGAGATTCATCAGATTTATTATATGTAACAAAAAAAAATGTACTACTTGTCACTTGTGAAAATATTCTTGAAAAAAAAATTACAAAATATCATATGACAGTTGATTATTCACGTCGAGATCAAAAACATGATTAGTGGTTGCTACATTTTTTTTTTATACAAATTGTAGTCAAGTATTTTCAATAGATGAAACATATCAATGGAGACATTCCACAACAAACAATAACTATTTTTATAAGGATATGTGAGTGTAGGTGTAAATGTGATTGAAGACAAGGCTCACATGCATACTCTTTATACTTTCTTTTCTCATTCCAAAGAATATAGTTTATAATTCCATCTTCGTGCTTGGAAGCAATATTTGTGCAAAATAAATAATCAATTAGAAGATCGATCACGAGGAAACATACTATCAATCGAATTGTTTTGCTTTTCATTAGAATCTAATGCGCTTTATCTAACCTTTACATGTTTTAATGTATTTTGTTGTTATTTGATAGCGTATTACTTTGTATTCTCTTACATAGCTACATCAAAGCAGAATTTGTTTTGCCTTGACAGATGAGATACATTAAAAAACAAAGTGAGTGCGTGCACTATACGACGCTGAATGATACAATACTTAAGAAGCGAACTAGACTCAGGATCGTCGCACTAGTGGTGGTGGTAACGATCATAGTAGTATGTTGCTCTGCTTTCTTATGGCGGCTGCTGCGACCACAGTAAGTTGAGTGCTAGCAAAAGTGTTGCATAGAATGTATCATAAACTATAGAAGGCGTCTCCTCGGGATGAGAGTAGCTGAAAACAGAAACAACAGTTCAGTTCTTCCACAAGTGGTGAAACCTGAGACACATCAACAATCCCAAGTTCCTGCAACAACGAGCGCTCTCGAAGTGAGCGGAAAAAGTCCAACACATCAGACTGTTTCTGTTCAGACTGGTAACATTTTCTTATTTTACTGTTAAAATCTAGGAGAGGAACAGAATGTGTTTTCTTTGATGCTTTG